TTTTTTTTTTTTTTTTTGTGGCTGCAATGCAATTGCTTGAAGCTTCTGCAGCTGGCTAGCCAAAAGGATATCAATCCTGTAATTCATATTCAATCTGTTGTTTGTTTTTTTATTTCTAGCCTTTTGACCAAGAAGTAGCAGAACTGTTAATTCTTTAGGTTCTTAAAGAGGTTCTAATTCTATTAGATTTAGGAGTTTAAACCTAGTTTAAAAGTAGTGTCATTGTCCAAATCCAGTTGATGGAAATGAGGTTGTTGAAGTGTTTAATGTCCTTATAGTTAATACATATGGTTTTGAATGTTATGGGAGTTAATAACACAAGTTTTTAAGTAGTGTCAGTTAAGATTTTCATATTATTTTTTATCTTTACATTAATATTTTCTTAAATTGTATTAATACTTCGATATAGTGTGCACATGTTGGCATGTTGAGCCTGTCCATCACAACTGGCAATGCGACAGCACTGTAGGCCCTTGTCGCAACAGTGTACAAGTGCAACACATTCATAATGGAATCTATATTGCCTTGCAAAATGGGTTCAGATAGAAATTTGGAATGACTATTGTTATTGTGTTGATATATGTTAGTTAGATTTCTGGACCGTTGTATTCATATAACATAAAAATAGAACATGTACGTGGCACTTTTTTGTTAACCTACTCTACTGAAACAAATTGTGTCATTATGTGTATGTTCTCTTGAAAGATTTCTAAATTCTAATGTACTGGATTATCATCAAGTGTTTCCAAAGGGATATGCATAATAGTCGAGCTGAATCTTGATTGCTTAACTATAGTATGTAATACCTTACTCCAGGCTACAATTTTCTTTTTGGAGTCACAGCGAACAAGTTTTTTTTATCCTTAATTGCTTCAATTGATCAGAAGTTTGAATAACAGCACAGAAAATTTTATTCAGTTCAGCCTCAGTGTGGATTGTTATGATCATCAAAGTGTATAAAAATGTCATAATAAACTAATCTGTATTATTTTATTATTTTTAAAAATATTTTATATAATGGAATAATCCCAATAACACCTTTCACAGTACAATATTAAGTGATATTTTTGTAAGCCATTATATAATATGCTTTCTAACAAGTCATGATCAGTTCAGATAACAAAGTTTATGTCACATCATTTTAAAAGGTATAAAAAATGCAACAACTTCATGATAAACATTACAATAATGGACTGATATTATTGATAGTTAGGACAAATAAACTAGCTACAGACCAGCAAATTGTACTAAGTACGCAATTATTAATTAGTAAATAGGGGATATTAGAAACGACTAACTACATAAGCACTGTCCATATCATGATAAAAGAAGCTACTGGAATGGACTAAATTTTCTCATTCTCGCCTTGTCGTTTCTACGATAAACTTTTGAGTGACTCATAGAATTCATAGTTTGCTGTCATCTTATCCGGAGAAGGAAAGAAAAAAGAAAAACGAATAAAAAAATAAGGAAATAAAACAGAAAGAATGCGGTGGTGGCACGACTGTGTGGGGCTTAATGATAAGAATGTTAATGCTGATCTTCATCACACAGACATTTGTGGATGAAGCTAAACCTTCTAAGAGTGAGTGGCAGAGAACGAATCCGCCACGAAAATTGCTTATAAAAGCTCTATATAACGGGACAAAAAAAGAAGAAAGAAAAGAAATTAATGTGGTCAAATAAAGTCGTGGTGGAAATCTTTTCTAAAGAAATGCTACTGTTGATCAAGTGCATATGCATATGCAATTGTATACGAAGTTTGTAGCCTTGTAAGTCAAGGAAATCCTTTGATTCTCTGATCGATTACTTTGTCAAAAGCATCTTCATATAAGTGACACAATCATTCGATTTTTTTTTCTACAATAGAATACTATAGTGGAGACGCATTAAAAATTATAATAGAGTAGATTAGTAATTTTTGTTACCTTTCATTACTTTGCTAATATGTTAGGGTTAGGGTATTGGTTAGTATTTCCAAAAATAACAAATTATATCTTGTCTTTAATAATGCTATTTTTTTTTTATGTAATAAGTCATAGATTCCTTTTTTCATTTTTTGTTCCCTCTTCTTTTATTTGAGCACACGCTAGTGTCTTTCCAAAACTGCAACGTGTCGTGGTATATTGAACCAAACAACACAGTTTTCATCTCATGAGTTACTTTATTAGAGTTGAGCAATCAATAAATTATTCACCATAATCAACATCATCATCATCAACCACCACATGAACCTCTCTCACACACTCACACAGAGTCTCAGACTCAACAAAAACACAAACACTCATCACCGATCACTACAAACTCTTCCGCCACCTCAACCACCCTTGTGACTTAACATGTCATCGCAGTACTTCCACCGTGTAGGCTTCACAAGGAAGCGAGAGAGGCTTATCAACCCCATGGAGCGAGCCTCACCACTGCCATCATCTTCGGTTCAGAACCAAGCCATGTCAGAGTCAGAGTCACTTCCACTACCTTTCTTCCTCCCTGATGAGCTCGTTGTGGAGATTCTCTCGAGGCTCCCCGTGAGGTCTCTCTTGAAGTTCAGGTGCGTGTGCAAGTCATGGATGTCCCTTATTTCTGATCCTTACTTCATGAAAAAGCACCTTCACTTGTCAACTCGAAGCACCCACTTCACCCACCAAAGGATCATACTCAGTGCCACAACAGCTGAGTTTCACCTCAAATCATGTTCTGTCAGCTCTTTGTTTAACGACCCTTCAACCGTTTGTGAGGACCTTAACTACCCTGTGAAGAACAAGTTTCGCCATGATGGGATAATTGGCTCTTGTAATGGGTTGCTATGTTTTGCCATAAAGGGTGATTGTGTGCTTCTTTGGAACCCCTCCATCAGGATCTCCAAAAAGTCTCCACCTTTGGGTAACAATTGGAGGCCAGGGTGTTTCACTGCCTTTGGCCTTGGCTATGATCATGTCACTGAGGATTACAAGGTGGTGGCTGTGTTTTGTGACCCTAATGAGTTGTATAGTGAGTGCAAAGTGAAGGTGTATAGCATGGCCTCCAATTCTTGGAGGAAGATTCAGGATTTCCCGCATGGCTTCTCACCCTACCAAAATTCAGGAAAGTTTGTGAGTGGCACTCTCAATTGGGCTGCCAATCATTCTGTTGGTTCAACCTCTGTGTGGGTTATTGTTTCCTTGGACCTGCATAAGGAAACATATAGGGAAGTTCTGCCACCTGATTATGAAAAGGAAGACTGTTCCACCCCTTCTTTGGGCGTTTTACAAGGGTGCCTGTGCATGAATTATGATTATAAGAAAACTCATTTTGTTGTGTGGATGATGAAGGATTATGGGCTGAGTGAGTCTTGGGTTAAGCTGGTGAGTATTCCTTATTTGCCTAATCCTGAAGATTTTTCCTATTCAGGGCCTTATTACATTTCGGAGAATGGTGAAGTGCTGTTGATGTTTGAGTTTGACTTGATTCTGTATGATCCAAGAGATAACTCGTTTAAGTATCCTAGGATTGAGAGTGGGAAGGGTTGGTTTGATGCAGAGGTCTACGCTGAAACTCTGGTGACGCCAATGATGCATTAAGGTCTATGCAAGTGTAAGTATGAATAAAATGTGAAAATGTAAAGTGTTTTCTCTTGTTCATGTATTTTGGCATTAGATGTGTAATATGTATATGCACAACTGAGAGGCCAAGCATTGTATAGATGTTGTTAATGTTTGATGAAGCTCAGTTACGCGTTCGTGTTGTTAATTGTGTTGGGTTATGTTATGTATCCATCAGATCACTGATGGAAAACATTGCTTAATCTATTTGTTAGTATATGGAAATTGGTATATGCTTTCTTGTATTATGGTTAGAAGCATATATTTAATGACTCATCTTAAATTCAGTGGCATTTCTTAAAGTAGAATCAGGACTTTTTGTCAAGTTTAAAAAGACAAGTAACGGACTTCTTTTGTAAAAAGGATACATTCTGCTAGTGAAGTATAGAAAAGGAAAACGGTTATACCTCTATGCTGTTATGTACAAAAACCTATTCCGTTGCCTACGTAGAAAAGCACAATACCCTACTTGACCAAGGCAAAAAAGTATATAGAATGGAATAAAGCAAAAGCGATCAAGAACCGGATTCTCTCGAGCACAACACTGGAAGCAGATTTGTGGCCTTCTCGAATGTTTTCAAGTTGAAGATGAGATATCATTATTGGAGTGGACCTTATCATGATTTTGTTCACACATGTCTTGTTTCTGGTTAAGTTATGGTTGTGGTGTGACATACTAATAATAGTGCTAACACTGAAGGGGAAAAAAATAGAGTTCACTCGGATCAAATCAGGGAGATTCAAACTCTCATTTTGAACACTTGATCGTAGTTTTTCGTCAATAAGCATTCATGACTGCATTTGATCCTTGATAAGCTTGAACCTCCAACCTCATAACTGCATTTATTCATGACTTTGGCATATACTTCATCTCTTTTAATACTTCAATCTTTTTAATAGATAAGAAAATGTTCAATCCCTGACAGGGACACCTTTGAAAGTGAGGACTTGAAAAAAGTTAGAGGAAAAAATTAAATCTACCATTAATTTGAAGATGACCTTCACAACTCCAATAAAACAAAATATAGACTACAAACTTTGCTCTCTAGCACGACACTGAAATCAGAAGTAACACTTCTAACCTGCTAAGTGCTGGATACAACCCAAATTCCGGTTCCCAACGAGACATTTTTTTACGACCAAAATTAATTGAGATATTTGTCCCGTTAAAAGAGTAGAACTCCAAAGCGGTTCATGGTGTGAAACAAATCAACAATTATGAGGTACAATGTGTCTACTGTCTACCAAGGATGAAGTTTAGTCTGATAAATATGATTTTTTTAATCTCACTAAATACTTACATGTATTCGAGGAGTTAATCTTGTTTAAAAGATAGTATTACTTAATATCTAAAAGAAAAAGAGTATTATTTTATTTATTTATAAGAATCTAAAAATCAAATTCTCATATTTAAATAGTCACACTAGATAAGTTCTTAAGTGTGTGGTGTGTTAAGATAAATGAGTTGACGCCTAGCAAAACAAAACAATGGGTGCAAAGAAGACAACACATTGAATCTGATGGTGGGTAGTAGGAGTTTTTAAGTATATTTAAATAAATTTATGCATACAATTATATACATAGATTAAAGAAACATAATTTAATAAAATAAATATAAGAAATTTTTTTATAAATTAATTTATGTATAGTATTTTTTGATTAATTTATAAATTTATTTATATTATCCGATTACCACTTTGAGTGGATATCAATTGGTACGATGAGGATGCAACAGTACCACTCTGAATTTCTATTATCCAGTGTGGAGAGTTTTTCCAAGATACGTAAAGTGATGCTCCCAACAACCAATTCCAAACCAGGTTCTATACCTGTTACTGTGTTGGCACTAGAACATTCTAGGCTCATTGTTTTGCGTAATTCTACACATTCTTTAATTATTTTTCTCAAACATCCTATTAGATTCACTGGTGAGGTGATATAATGCATGGGAATAATTTGGTGATCAAGATTAGATAAAGATAAACAAAATAAAATGATATGATAATATTAGGATAAGTCATGGAATTAAGGACCAAAAAGGAAGGAAAAAAAATCTGTTATGTCTTACTTCTTAACCGAACTTTTCTTTTTTTTAAATAATATTTAAATTAATGAATGAAATTAAATAAATAAAGAGGAAAATTTTGTTCTATTATCTTTAATCTTTGTTTTAAGGATAAAATAATAATATTTCTTTTCTTTTTTGATAAATATTTTCTTGTCTTTTTTGTACTTTTTTTTATTAAGAATATAATTCTTTTTTTTAATAAAATATTTGAGTTTTATTTTTATTTTTTTCCATAATTTTTTATTATTATTTTTAAAGCTATAAAAGGTACATTTTTCAATTAAATTGATTTATTAATATTCTCTTTATATTGATTTAATTATAATTAATTTAATAATTGAAAAATATTTATTATTTTTTATGAATAAAACAAACTTACCAACACTATAAGGAATTAAAATATTAAATATTAAAACATATTTATATCACTTTTTATCTTTTAGATATTATTTGTGAAACTCTAAATTATAGAAAACATAATTAATTGTGTGCGTATATTATATAGGAATGATAGTTTTTTTCTTCCATTATCTTTTATTTTAATTTTTTATCTCTTAAATTTGAATTAATTTAATTTTTTAAAATATAATTATTTTTAATTTTAAAATATGATTTTGATTATTTTTCAAACTGATTCAAGAATTAAAATTTATCTCATTGAATTCACTTATATGAAAATTCTTGAATGTATTTGTAATTCAAACAAAAAAAAAAGTGTGATAAACATGGTAAAAATTGCATAAAATTGACCAACAAGATTTTCTAATGAGTTGTAAATATAAATTATGTAACATTGTACCTAAGTTGAGTTAGGTGAGTTGTGAGGGCCTCTAAGAAGAAGTGCAATTGACCTTAAGGAAAAAAAGGTATATAAGATTTCTGTTTTGAACAGAGTTTCATAAACTCTTGTTCTCCAAACCTTAGAGAGAGCTTTTAAAGAGATAAAGTCTCCTAAAACTTTTCTCCTCCTTTTCTTCTTTCAGATCCTTCATGAGGGTGAACATGTTCGTGGGGGTGGTGATTTGAAGTTGAAGCTAAGAATCTTTAGTGCAGGGATCGTTTTCTTTAAGCTAAGAGCATTCTTTCTTCTTCTTTCTCTCCTTTAGTTTTAATTGTTCGGAGTAGAGATAAAGGAAGTTACGACGAATTGGTTAGTTAATATAATGAATTGTGTTATTGTTTTCATCAAATGTGGGTATGTATGTGGTTAAAATCAAATTAAATGGTGAAGGACTTTTGGTGTTTTTGAGCATTGAGGTGAATTTTTTGTGATTGATCTTAAATGATATTGCATGTTAAAATTGAAATTGGTTTTGAGTTTGGTATGGTTGGTATGTGAAGTTGGATGCATTGCATGTTTGGTTTGGTTGTTTTTCAACTGCTTGGAGCAGTTTTTGTGATCTACAAGTGTAGATTTCTAACATCATGTTGGGTTTTGTCTTGTTCACATCAGGCACATGATCAATGGCATCGAGTGTGAGAGCATGAAAAGGTCTTTGACTTGATGATGTTGGGCCCCAATATTAGGATACAAACAAGTCTCACGTCGATAAAATAAGGGAAAAAATAACAACTTATAAAACACATACATAATCCAATGATTGATAGCCCTTTTGGGTGATAGCAAAAAGAAAAACCTAAAATATCCCCTCAGTGATATCAGAGTCGCAAGTTGTTGTCAATGACAACCAATAAGTTATAACCCTTATAAAGACATAAGTGATAATGTGATATATAAAGACTTTCGCTGCATGAAAGGTTGGGTCCCTTATTTGAGGGGAGGATTGTTAGGATACAAACAAGTTCCACATCGATAAAATAAGAAAAGAAATAACAACTTATAAAGCACACACATACTCCAATGATTGAGAGGCTTTTTGGGTGATGACCAAAAAACAAAATCATGAGGGCTCAAAGTAGACAATATCTCATTATTTTAGAGTTGTGTGTGAAATAACCTTATAAAAATAACCCTTATAATATATCTCTTCAAAAAAGTACCATAAAATAACCCATTAGTGGTATCAGAGTAGCAGGTTGGATTCGATGACAACCAATAAGTTATAACCTTTATAAAGTGATAAGTGATAATGTGATATAAAATAACCCCATCACCCAGTTGGGTGGTGCCAAGTGTGATCAGGTAGAAGCTCCTTACCTAAATGATGTCAGACTTCATCGAGGTGACGTTGGACGTGTCATGCAGAGGCTCTCTGCTTGATGTGAAATCAAGCATGGATTTTTCCACGTCAGGCGTGAGGTCTGAGGGTCTCTACCTCAGTCACATTGAGCGCGATTTGGATGGTACTAGCATGAGCAAGTCACATAGTTTCCTACCTCGTTGGCGTCAATCGTGAGGTATGCATGGATCTTTCTGCGTCAGGCGTGAGGTCTGAGGGTCTCCACCTTGGTCATATTAAGCGCGATTTGGATGGTACTAGCATGAGCAAGTCACATAGTTTCCTACCTCGTTGGCGTCAATCGTGAGGTATGCATGGATTTTTCTGCGTCAGGCGTGAGGTCTGAGGGTCTCCACCTTGGTCATATTAAGCGCGATTTGGATGGCACTAGCATGAGCAAGTCACATAGTTTCCTACCTCGTTGTATGATGGACGATGGGTAGATGTAGGAGTTTTACTGCATGTTATATGAAGTATAAAGACTACAATTCTATGTATGTTGATTGGATATGACCTATGTAGATGTTTGTATGATGTTGGACGATGATGAACATATGTATGTATGACGTTGTTCATCTCTATATATATTGACTGAATGTGATGTATATAGCTGATGTATGCATGAAGTGTGGATGCTGAGAATGAAGTATAACATTGAAGCATGTTGGCTAACTTAGGAATTAAGGAGGGAAAAATGTTTTTGAAAATTGAAGATCTTATATATGGAATCTTGGAATGATGCTCGAGTAAGCCACTATTGAAAAACCCTCTTTGAATACGTGTATCTCTTGGAGTGAGTTTTGAAGTATGTTGAGTCTCTTCTATACCCTTATTTAATGGTTGAGTAAGGTAGGAGGTTAAAGGCTACAACCCTTAACCAAGTACCTGAAAATGTTGCATAATTCCTTGACGATGGTCAATGGGCTAACTCCACCTATGATTTGATAATACATGTCAAGGTCGTGGTATGCCTATACCTAGCTATATCACTCCTAATGGTGGAATTGAACTTTTCTAGTGTAAGTGACGAAATTCGAAA